CCTTCCACTGTTCAACCCAAACCACGTGCCTTCCAAGCAATGCCCTCTTCTCCTCGCCTGCCAGCTTCTGGTTAACAGACACTGCTAAAACTCAGTTTCAGGGAGAGAAAGAAAACACATTTAAATGTTTAAAGAGAAAAGAAGGAAATGAAACAGCCAACTGATTTGTCAAGTGTGATACCAGCTGTGCAAACATGAGGCCTTATGAACTTTGTAAAAAAAAAAACAACAAAAAACCCCCCACAAAAAAACCCCCCAAAACCCCTCCAAAATGACAATAAAACCACCAATTAACAGCCCTTGTTGACAGATTTATTTTTTTTTTTCCTCTTTTGTAAATGCCTGTACTAATACAGCACAGCAACACTCTGGTTGCTTTAAAACACAACTGCTTTCATATCTCTGTGATATGAAATGAAGTCTAGTGGAGCTGCCAAGACATTGCCCTGGTCGGATAAATCCCATCAGAACTTCACCAAGGATATAACCACAGAGGTCAGGCTCATCCCTGCTGCTCTGCAGGTTACATTACCTTTGCTGGATGAACAAGCTGCTGATACTGTGAAGATAAACCCTGCACGATTTTGAAATAACTGCTGCACCAGGGTCCCAAACCAACCAAACCCTGCTTGGAATCTTCAGACCCTGAAGTATCCCCTGGTCATGAACAAGCCGATTGAAGAAGAGGCACCACAGCGTGTATTTGCAGTCTTCTTGCTGCAGAATGGCCCGTGAGCCATGACAGCTCCCTGCAGAATTGTTTCCTGTCTTTGTCTGTACCACATGCAGATTCAAGTTATTTTGGGTCACAGACTAAAGTCTGAAGTCAGCCACCCAGCCCAAATCCCACTTATCTGGTCTGAGGCTGGCATAACAACCCTTGGTTTTTTTTGGAAACTCTAGGCAATATTGCATTAAATTTGCCTTGTAAGACCAAACCCAGGCAAACTTTATTGCAAACAAATGGCTCTATGCCTTGGTGTATTGACTAAGTAAAGAAATTCTATCAGTTTAGCAGAAAACACAATCACAGGCATAAAATCCAAAGAAACCACCTAAAATAAGTTAGTTGGAAAAAGATTTCTCAAAACTGTTGACATTGTTTCTATTTCTAGACACATTAGAAGCATGCTAACTACAACACTAGCACTGGCTAAATCTACTTTTTAGTTAAATATTATATTTAATGTTAAAAGTTAAACATTAAAATGTAGCTGCTCGGGAGAAGAGACGGCAAGAGACCAAATTACCTTGTGTGGAGAGGCTGCAGAACTAACTGAAATAGTCCTCCACGATTGTTGTTTCTCTTTTTCTCCCTTCATATTTCTATTCACCAGACAGCTGCCTGTAACACTGTTCTGAGCAGCAGCATTAGAATCAAGAGATACGCACAGAATATTTCACCCGAGTCCTGACAAAAGCAGTGATTGATTTTCTTTTTTTGTCTTGAGAATTTTTACAGCTAACTGTAAGTACCTTTAAACAAGTTACACTGCATTGTACTGACAAATGTACAGACTGTACAATATAGAAGACTTTGAGCTATTCAACTTCCTAGCTACATAGTTGGGCAGCCAAACACAACACATACTGAGTGGATATTCAGATGACAGATTGCAAAGTCCACAGGATATAGTTTAGCTTTTCGTCTGCACATGTAGTTCTGATTGTGATACAATTCTTTCTATCAGCGTGCATATTTTAATTGAGATATATAGTGAAGTTGTAGGACAGCAATGTAAATTCACAGCTGTTTTACTCCATACAAATTCTTCTACTAACAATGCTATTCCTGAGCATATTAATAACACAGTTGGTGACAGGGTAAGCTATTGGTCTAGGTACAGACAGAAATAGAGGTAAGGGGTCAGCCATCAGCTCTCATCACTTCCCAGTCTTCACTACAAACTCCCCAAGTCAAGAAAAAACAAACTGAACAGCCTAAAGTGAAGGAAAATTTTGTATTTGTTTATTATTCTTTTTTAAATGAGAACTGTGAACTTCTTCCTCTTTCTAGTTCTCACAGCAACACGAACATCTGAACTGAACAAACACCTCACACATTCTTCGCTCATTAGTACTGAGTTACTCAAACTCCTCTGAAAACACAGATAGCTGAGCCCTTGGGAGTTTCGTGAATGGTTTTGAAAGGTCAGGGTTTCAGCCACCAGGAAACAAACAAATGCATGCACCAAGCATTTCCTTCCATACCAAGGTGACAGAAGCATTCATCAAGACTCTGAATTTCCATAGAAATTACCCCTTTTCACTTCTACAACATGTAAGTACTCTGCCATGACGTATTTCGGTATTACTGCCCGCATAACTTTTAAAATTGAGAAGTTAATGATCAGCTGCAGTTAAGGGAAGTGCACTTTGCATTCAAACTACATCTCTGGCAGTCTTCAGTTCCTCTGAAAGTTTCAGTCAGGTGCAGGCTTTTGGTTGTACCTTTTATCTTCCACTCATCATCTCTGTCTTTGAATGGGAGAGCGTACCTCGTGGCAGCTGGGCTTGTCAAGCAACTGAAGAAAGTCCAGAGAGAACTGAGTCTACTGGCACAAATGAAATAAAGAATCAGGACACTTCACCAGCTCTCACTGAAGCGATATCTCCCTGTACATACAAGAAGTTTAAAGAATTCAAAGGATCGCTGTATATTTGTCCTGATTTCTGCATTAACTGGTTCCTGAATCGCACTGTCACTCCACACCCAAACAAAAAATGAACCTTAGTACCAACTTGTTTTCTAGAAAGGTGTTTGTCAGGCATGGAAAAATCCGTTTTTCCCTTGGCTATTTCCAGTCAGATTACTGCCAAGGGCAGAGACAAGAAAGTGAGAACTCCACAACTGAGCAGCCCCAGTGCCATTCTTGAAAGCTCCATCAGGACAAAACGATGTGACAGGACAAGCACAGCACATGTTCAATCTCAGCAGCAGTCACCTGAATACCTTGCAGGCTCCAGTCAGCTACAGTCAATAAGCACCTAATCTATTTTTGTGTTTTCTCATTTAAATATTCTAAGAGTCTTCCTTCTACTATAAAACTAGCCCATAAGCAACATTAGGATAAGAACCCTTAAGCAATAATCTTCCTGTTTAAGCAATGTGTTAGCACCAGGACCTATAAATGCACATGCTGCATTCTACAGAAATGCTTGATTTAAATCTGATCTGAATTAGGATCTTATGCCTTTAAATATCTAGACAAAAGTCATGGGGCTTTCTCATATGTGATTTTTTTTTTTCCCCCTAAATAAAGGTCACAGAAACAAAGCTTCTTCCAAACAACATCTAGATGTGACTTCCTTTGTAAACTACTGCCAAAAAAGTGCAAAATCCTTCAAGCAGGGTGAAGACACAGGCAGAAACGAAAAACTGCAGAAAGATTTTGGCAAAAATATTGCAGCTGTTATAAGTTAGTTTCCCAAATTGCCC